CCGCCCGGCTCACTACACGGTGCTCTTGGACGAGATTTTCCGCGATAAGTATGGTGTCGGCGACAGAGCGGCGGATAACCTGGAGAAGCTCACCCACGACCTCTGCTACTCGTTTGGCCGAGCTACCAAGGCCGTCAGCATCTGCCCCCCAGCCTATTACGCAGACATTGTGTGCGAGAGAGCTCGTGTCCACCGGCCTGAGCACTTTGATGCGTCGGAAGCGTCGGAGACTGGCAGTACCGTTGGTGGCCCGTCGACTTTGAGCGTCAGCGTGCATGAGAACTTGAAGGACACAATGTACTACATATGAGGTTGTTTGTGTGTCGGCGTACCGGAAGCGATTGCATCAGACAGCGGGCAAAATGGAGAGCAGGGCTTGTTGACAGGATGGGAAACAGACGCTCTGCAGCAGGCGTGCTTAGAATAGACTTCCGAGATCAATCGCAGCGGGTATTCACGTAGAAGATATCTCCCTCGTGGAAACAGGTCCTTCTTGCGTGACCAGTGCTTTCCGGCTCAATTGAGCCGAGTTGCTGTTCTTGTTCCGACTAGTCGCCCGATGGCGTTCGGGTCCGGAGCGGCCTCGAGTAAGACGGGGAATCGGCGTGCTGTGCTATTGGCTTCATGTTGACGTCAGTGGGGATCTGGTGAGGGGCAGCTCTCTCGTGGCGGGGTAAGCTATTTGCTCAGACAAGGAGCTGCGACAAGACAGACGGAGCCCAGCTCGACAGTGACAAATCGTCATGCACTTTTTTTCCAACTGTTATATCCGAAAAGGCTCCATCTGATGCAGCTTCGATCCCCGAAATAATTGTCAAGACTCCCCCCCGCTCCCAAACTTCCTGAAAGCAACCATTGCATGAACCAACCTTGTTGCTTCTATGAACGCCCTCCGAGCCTTGCAGAGAATTAAGCTTATACAGAACACACTTTCCACGAAACCTATCGGTGAGTCTTGTATAATGGCTTGGCGCTCATGGGCTCCCAATCTCTTCTGCCTCATCGCCGAGATGCAGTGTAACTGATTGCGGTTTGTGTCTTTAGGACGAATCAGTCAATTCGCGACCATGGCTGCCACGACGGATGTCAAGAACTACAAGTTCAACCACTCGAGTAAGTTGGTTGATAACCGATTCAGGAATATTTGCTGATAAATCTCAGTGATCCGAGTGAAGGACCCCAAAGCTTCGGGTATGCACCAAACATCACCACTCATCTTCCAGCACCCCTATTGACACCCCGGCTTCACAGTAAAGTTCTACGAGACCCTCGGTATGAAGGTCATCAAGCAGATCCAGCAGCCCGAGGCCAAGTTCGACCTCTACTTTTTGGCTTACGACTCGCCCAACGCGCGGTCCGCCGGCAACGGCACGTTCGACCGTGAGGGCATCATCGAGCTGACGCACAACTACGGTACCGAGAATGATCCCGAGTACAAGATCAACAACGGCAACACGGAGCCGCACCGCGGGTTCGGACACACGTGCATCAGCGTCGACAACATCCAGGCGGCGTGCCAGCGCCTCGAGGACGCCGGATACACGTTCAAGAAGAAGCTGACGGACGGCAAGATGCGGCACATCGCGTTCGTGTTGGATCCCGATCAGTACTGGGTTGAGATTATCAGCCAGAAGCCGATTGAGCAGACGGAGAGTATCACCACTACGGATGTGACCACCTACAGAATGGTGAGACTACCTGTCTTTATTTTGGGCCCTCTTTGACGTAGGAACCGCTAACAAATATCCTCTGTGGACGTAGAACCACACGATGCTCCGTGTCAAGGACTACGAAAAGTCGCTCAAGTTCTACCAGGATGTCCTGGGCATGACGCTGATCCGCAAGAACGAGGCCAGCGACTTCACCCTCTTCTTCCTGGCCTACGGCGACCTCAAAGAGGGCGAGATTCAGGCGCAGCGCGAGGGCATCCTCGAGCTGACCTGGAACCACGGCACCGAGAAGGACGAGAGCTTCAGCTACCACAACGGCAACGACCAGCCCCAGGGTTTCGGTCACATTTGTGAGTTTTCTTTTACTGCATCTAACTGAGTGAGGTCAAAGGATACTAACAAGAGGATAGGCGTCACGGTTGACAACATTGACGCCGCGTGCGCGCGTTTCGAGGAGTTGAAGTGCAACTGGAAGAAGCGCCTCACTGACGGCCGCATGAAGAATGTTGCTTTCTTGTTGGATCCTGATAACTACTGGGTCGAGGTTGTTCAGAATGAGAAGTTTGCCGGCAAGGCCAACTTTTAAGCGCTCATTTTGGGAGATCACTTTCAGGAACAGGAACATTATGAGTGGCATGATATGAGATGAGGCGAGGGCATTGTGGAACGGCGTTTGGTGAGAGGCGGCAGTTGGGCGGGTTGAGTGAAATGAGTATGAGGCGTCTTAAAAGTTGGTGGAGTTGCCCCAGGAGTCTTCGAGCTCATCTCAGGCGGGTGTTTGGTGAGGTGTCGATAGGAGCCTCAAGTATGGCATGTGAGGCTTTCTTCAGAAAAGAAAATCAAATCATTTAATCGTAACATTGCAGATGTCTAAAGCTCCACGATCTGATTCCAAACTGCATGAGTGGCTGATGCTGATGTGAGGATTCCAAAAGTTGACCCGGTGGATCCTCGGATAACGGGCGCGTCGTGGAATCCTTTGCCGTGATTCCATCATGATTCCACGCTGTGGCGCTTGCAGTGCCGCTGTGGCGGGAGCTCCAAAGCGAGCCCGGACCCCGGGGACCCTCGCACTGCAGAACCACACCCCGCCAAAAGTCGTTGACGCAACAGGTCGCCCTCAGCTTCTCACTGGCCACAGCTACAAATCATTGGACAACCCGAGCTCCGATTTGTCACTCTTGCCCTCCACTGCCTCACTTCTCACCCCTCGTCCTGTAACATCTTCAGACGACGTTCTTATATAAACCTCCCTCCAACCTCAACCTTCAACTACCAAGTGATCAGAACAACCTCAAACTCACCGACTCATAAGACTGGTGAGACATACTGTACCTCGCGATCTAGAAGAGAATTGCCCGCCAAATGCGATTCTCACCCTTCCTCTCAACCCTCGTCTACACCTTTTCCAACTTTTCCCGCGTCCGCGCCGCGCAGTCCCTGGGCACCCAGGCGCCCCTCGCAGCGAACCGACAGCTCCGCGCTTCCATGCCCTCGATCCCGTTCCTGGGCGCCCTGTTTGGATCTTCCGCTTCGCAGCAGGATAAGATGTCGTACCCCGATAAGAGGTCTGATGATGAGTGGCGGGCTGTTTTGAACAAGGGTATGTATGCCCCATTCTCACTTCATCTCATGTGCCGCGTCTCTCGTATAAAAACCCGGGCTTTCATGAGACGAGCAGTGCCTATAGCCCGCGAAGGATATGTCATGGATGAGGCTAACATCTCATCAGAGCAATTCCGCATCCTCCGAGAAAAGGGCACCGAACCCCCCGGTTCCGGCAAATTCGACAAGCACTACCCTTCCGAGGGCGTCTACGCCTGCGCCGGCTGCGAGGCGCCCCTCTACAAGGCCACGCACAAGTTCAAGTCGGGCTGCGGCTGGCCGGCCTACTTTGACTCGTTGCCGGGCGCCGTCGTCCGCCACGAGGACCGCATGTTCGGCATGACGCGCACCGAGATTGTGTGCGCCAACTGCGGCGGGCACCTGGGTCACGTCTTCAAGGGGGAAGGGTTTGACACCCCGACGGACGAGAGGCACTGTGTTAACAGCGTCAGTTTGACGTTTGCGCCGGAGGAGAAGAAGGGTGGGGAGGGGACTGCTGAGGGTGCGAAGGGGGAGAGTAAGGTTTAATGGTTTGTGATGTTTGGGGGAATGGCGTTTTGAAGAGGTGTTGGTGGGTGTAGATGATAGTCTGAGTATTGCTCTCAGGGTGAGAGAAGAGGTCCACGTATGATGTTGAACTATCCGCTGAATGGACCCAGTGTATCAACAGACGTTGCGTAGGAGATCCAAGCCTCAATGTGAGATACCTTATGTAAATTTGCCTTCTTGGCTGTGCGAGGCGGGCCTCGCATCTCCGATATGCCTTTAGTCCGTAGGCTCCATGCAACCTAGACGAAATGGTTCGCCCGTCACGAACCGTTTGTGTACGAACTCCTTCTACGTCTCGAGACTGGCTGGTATAAGAATGATTATCTCCCGCAACTAGACATGCCGAGGACGATGTGCAGTAGCTTAGCTGAGGTTGCTTTTGGTTCAGCTGTTCGGAAGAGAAAAGTCGGCATAGTCTCGAACTTTTGAGTGAGCTGAACCCCATTTATTCTCATTGGCTCTTGGAAAATCTGCGTGGCACTAACCATGGCCTCGGAAAACAGTGCTTCTCCATGCATAACATTCACGAGCGTCCAGCCTGCAGTATGTTGCACCCGTTTACCTACCGTGCCTATCAGTTGTGGCTTCATCTGGTTGGCGCTGATGGCGAGCCATACACCAACAGAGTGAGGCTTGGAAGACCTCGACGGGTACCTTACTCTGCCCAACCTATGAGAAGGTTGAAGCACTCTGCGGACCATCTTGGCGGCAGAAAGGTCTGGACACGCTGCGAACGTCACCTCATGCAGAGAGGTTCAGCGAGTCTGCCTCGGTGAGGCGAAGTGCATTATGGCAAGTGACATTCAGGGGGCTTGGGGGTTTGGAACCATCATATGATCAACCGAGATGCTAGGTAACAACTTTCACTCGCTGGCTCGGGCTTGATGCCTGAACTCACGGGCTTGCACGGCATTCGTGGGATATGCGCAGCGTGTGCATGATGTGCCGGGAACCGCGTTTGAACCAGTGAGGCTTGCAGTTGCTGGTGTCTATCATACAATTTTCATGCAAGAAAGTCACAACCATTTCCTATTAAGGACAGTTCAAAAAGGAGCCTTGTCCCGGATATCATTTACCCCGCCATGGCATTCCTTCACTAATGATCCGTCAACTCCAACTATCTCCGACTTCACCGTTCACGATCTAGCGATATTCGCCCGTGGAATAGGCACAAAGATGTTTAGTTGGCACGACAAAGCGTGCAAGTCTCTCAGTATTGGGTTCTCAGAAGAGTTAGGTCTACCAATCTGTGCTGGCGACAAATGCGTTGCTCCTCGCCATGGTAGGACACGGGCTGCACCCGAAATAGCACTACCGGTGCCCGCTCCGAAGACCACGTTCGAGCTTACATGGCCATCTTCACTGAACTTGGTGGACCGAGAAACCTCCAACTCCAGCCTGGTCAAAGAAGGGTCAGCCGAACCGAAACCTTCCTCACTCGACGACGCAGGTCAGAACGTTGTGTCGCATCCTGGCCAACATACGCCGAGCCAACAAAAGTCTACAAACGACTCACCTTTTCGAGACGAGAATTCATACCAGCCTCTAGTCGCCCGCAAGACTAGGCTTCTTGATTTAATCGGAGGAAGCTACCATGATCCTATCAGAATTGAGCTTCACATCGCAAACTTGCTTGACTGGCCGGAATACGAGGCCCTCTCCTATACGTGGGCAGACGAGAATGGGGACTCTTCAAAGTGCGAGAGAGTCTACATTGGAAAGCGGTGGGACATCCTACCCATAACTAAGAATTGTTCTAATGCCCTTCGCCGACTTCGATACCAAAATCGACCGAGGAGATTGTGGGTCGACGCCATCTGCATAAACCAGAATGATGTGGGCGAGAGGTCCCATCAAGTTGGCATTATGCAAAATATTTACAATTACGCCGAGAGAGTTCTTATCTACCTAGGTGAAGACGCAGAAGAGCCAGACACCGCAGGCTCTACTCCATGGAACTACGATACTGGTCACTATAGGCCGTTGCCACAACACATAGATCTCACACAGAAGCCTTACTTCAAGAGAGTATGGGTGATCCAAGAGATAGCTGCAGCAAAAGATGCCTGGGTTCTCTTTGGGACGAAAGGAGATCGATGGGATGATTTTCTTTCTGCAGAGGCCAAAAGGAAAACGAACACTCCATCTATACCGACCTCTACAGAGATGACTGCCATCAACGAGCAGCACTGCCAGAAGCAAAAGTGGCTGCACTTACTCCCGCGAGGGCGCGGGGAGATTATGTTTTCGGACGAGCTTCCTAAACTCCTACACGCCACTGTTCGATGTGAAGCCACAGACCGCCGGGACAAGATATATGCCTTGTTAGGGCTTTTCCCAGACGCTACTCAAGCTAAACTGACTGCGGACTACTCCTTGAGTGAAGATCAGGTATTCAGTGGCTTCACTGCTTACCTGCTCTCCAACAGCACGGCATTCTTACTGCCAGTCTTTGCAGCACTACGGCCAACATCTTCAACTCCTTCCCCATCGTGGGCCGTTGACTGGTCGTCAGCGACGAACTTGGACTGCATGGGCCCTTACTTAGCTGAGAATGACTCTCGACTCACGGCTAAAAGCGAGACGACTGGAAGCGACATCGGATGGGTTTCGGGCATACCTCGTTTCCACCAGAACGGTCTCTTAGCTCTCCGGGGACGCTTGATTGTTAGTCTGCCCAGCTGTATGCTCGGGCCAGAGATTCATCGAGGCCCTCCAGGCGTCCAAGAAAGAGTGTGCTACGGGAGAGAGACACAAATTCTGAATGTCATTCCAAATTGGGTCGAATCTACCGACGAACTTTGTCAGATCCAGGGCCTCGACGGCCATGCGTTGGTGCTTCGGCCCATTCCGAAGGCTCCTAAGACATACCGCTTCGTGGCCATCTGCAGACAGCCCGAATTCCATCGCGTATCAAGTTGTCTCAACTCAATAGATCGCACAGCGATTCTGCTCTTCTCAACATGGAGATACATACTCAATGCGGTGGGCAGCGAGAGGGACAAAAGGCTCTGGTTTCATGCAGAGACATGGAACACGGTCGAAGAGATGTCTCGGAATATCAAACACTTTTGGAACTTGGAGAAGACCATCTGTCGCGATTTAGACTGTACTAGAGATCTCAGATGTGGCAAAAGTCCACTTTGCGAAGAAGAAGTCCAGGCAGCACCATACAAGCCTGGAAATACAAACCCGCGAGAGATGTGGCTACATCACGAGGAGGCACACAGCGACTCGCAGCAGCAGAATGCTGCGAGCCGGCAACTTTCGAAGAAGACTGTTTGTGATTTGACAGTACATCAAGCTTGTCTTGAACAGACATCCGAAAGAGGGAAGTCCGGGAAGGTGGCAGCGGGAGAGAAAGGCCATTTTGGCTCTCTTGCGGAACATCTTTCGACCGCAGTCAGGAAATTTCGCTACCCTTCCAGTTGGGTTGGATGGAAACCCGACTGGAAATCACTCGCTGATCTGAGAGCGATCTACAGTCATAGGGAAGCGCGCTCCAGAAAAAGGCCATTAAATCCCTCCACAGCTTTGTCGACTGTTATTATGGATCTAGGTTGGGAATTCGGGTCTTCCCCAGGAGTCCCTACAGCAGAGAAATTGGCACTGACAAGGCGCGATCCTGACAGTTACCGGCATAAGTTTCAATGGCACTTCGAAAATCCCGAGAAAGAGGCTTTTGATGTTTTGGTTAAAGACTTCGCAGAGGAGTCTTTACAACGTTGGGAAACTTGGGAAAGGCTTTTGATATTCATGCCGTTCAATGATTTCGCCAGCGAACTTTTGAATCAAGATTTAGGGGAAAAATTAACTTTCTTTGACCGATCGATATTAACCTTCGCGAGAGGTTTGGATACAACTTCACCCCACGATGGAGTGTTGTCATGGCTACATGATGCCTTGAACTTGGAGTCAAGACCTCTGCCAACGGTAGAATCATATAGGAACGCACATCTGGATACCTGGGCAGCCGATTTCATTCGCACCTGGACCCTCCTCACGAAGGACATTCGACCCAACCAGCTTTCTCCTATCAGACCTGAGGATCTCCCTCAGCAAGAGACGGAAGAGCGTCTTTTGCGGGAGCAAGGCCACCTCGCTGCAGCGGAAGCAAAGTGGGCGCCATTGCTTGACCTCGTCAAGTATACAGAGGCGCGCCTGCTCCCTATGAAGGAGACATTCATCCGCGCCGAAGACACGCATGATGAGTCTATGGATGACGTTCCCTGGGAGGACATCTTCATAGCTTGATCGAGGACTCTCGAGGATACCTTGCCGCCGTATCAGAGACGAATAGTGCCATGCACTGGCAGAGACTGGAAAGGTTCCGCGGGAGTTGGTGAATCTGTCGACGAATTCTGATTCTCTGAGACACGGTGTTTCTTCGACAACCGAGGTTATTCGCTTTCTGAATGAAATGGTCGGAAGACAAGACTGGGGCGAACTTTCGAGTGGGGGAGGAGTGAGAATTTTGAAGTTGGCAGCATGTTTTTCCTATTTCTGACCTTAGGTATACTTTGGGACACGTCAAGTCAACATATGAGAATACGAAGGGGTTTCTGGTCAAGGTCGAGTCATTTGGAGTTGGCATTATGTATTACTCTCATATCTCATATACATCTCAATTCAGCACCACAATCATATATACAAGAACATATACCCCTCCCCACACAGGCCTACACTTAGCATCCACAAACATTAAACAGCGCAACAGAAGGATCATGATCGCTAACAAGATCATCGTACAGCTCCCACGAGTTCACGTGGATGTGCTCGTACGCGGTGCCGTTCTTGTTCGCCAGCGCGGGGCTGACAAACATGTGATCCAGCTCCTGCGCGTTCATGTCGTAGACGTAGGTGTAGCGCTCCTCGACGGGGACGCCGACGGCCTCGTCGAGGTCGATGAGGCCCGAGGTGGACGCGAAGACTTTGAGGGGCTCGACGAAGGCGAACTCGTTAAAGTCGCCGGCGGTGATGATGCGGGCGTTTGCGTCGAGGGCGAGGATCTCGGCGATGAAAGACTGTAGTATCAAGTTAGCTTAGGCGTCTTTGGAAGTTTGGAGTGACGAGGGGAACGTACGCCGGTGATCTTGGCCTGCTCGATACGCGGGTTCACGACGCCGTTGACGGGAGGACGGGGGTCGCCGTGCAGGGACGAGGAACCGCCCTTGGACGCAAAGTGCACGTTGACGGTGAAGAAGGTCTTGTTCACGGGCCCGTTAACGGCGCGCCACTGCGCGACGAGGGGCTTGCGGCTGGCGTCCCATGCCGTGTTGGTGGGGTCGATGCGGCCCGGGTTGTACTTGAGCGCGGGGCCCTCGAGGACCTCATTGGCATCGAGCGCGCCGCCCGGGTTCGGCTTGTAGAGCTCGACGACGTCGGGCTTGTAGAGGTACGCGACGCGGATGTTGCCGCCCGGCTGGCCGCCGTCCTTGCCGTCGACGGGGTCGATGACGACCCAGTCGTACGCGACACCGGACTTGGTCTCGATGGCGGCCGTCAAGGTGGAGAGGGTTAGGTTGGAGGAGACCACACCGTTGTTGGTGGCGCCATTGTCATCTTGGATCTCTTGGACGAAGACGAGGTCGGGGGTCTTGAGGTAGTCTACGATGTGGGCGGCGACGGAGGGGAGGTGGGCGACGGTCGGGGAGAGGTTCTCGACGTTGTAGTCGCCGACTGTGATGCCCCTGCAGTCGCCGCGGCTGACGAGGGTGGTGGCGGGCGCGTTGTTGGTGGCGTTCTTTGCGATTGTGATGCCGGTCAGGGGGAGGATGCGGTAGAAGCCGAAAGCGTTTGTGACGATGCCGGTGATCTCGGTGAGCTCGTCGCCCATCTTGGACTCGGGGTTCTTTGTGCCGTCGAGGGGGGATCCGATGATGATGGCCTCGGGGTTGGAGTCTTGTTTGCCGTGTTAGTGACTTGTATGATTCGGAGAAGACAGACGATGTATACCCTTGTCAGACATGGTGAGACCGCCGTGCGCATTGCGGCCGGTGACGGGCCAGTCGCCAATGACCCAGGTGTCGCCGTACTGGTTGGGGCGAGAGATGCCAACGGGGCTCTTGATTGTGACGAGCTCGCCGCTCAGCGACTCCCAGAAGTCGAGGCCGTAGAGGGCCGGGTTGAGGACGGGGTTCTCGGTGGAGATGTTGGCGACGGCGTTGGGGACAGCGTAGACGTCGCCGCCGTCAAGACCGCTGTACTGCTCCGTCGGCGGGGGCAGGGTGTCGACGCCGATGACGAGCGGGGTGACCGCGTTACCCTTTGAAACGACAATGACGTTCTTGGGGGAGCTGAGCTCTGTGAGGTAGATGTAGTTCGTGGCGGACCTGTTTTTTGTTTTGTTAGAGGAACTCTACGTGTCATTGAGAGCCCAATACTGTATCGTACCTGTACTCCTGGATCTTTCCATCCAGAGTGATGAGGTCGCCCACGGTCAAGTTCGCGCCGACGGTGCTGCCGTAGACGTAGAGCGCCTCGGAGGTGGCAGCGTCATCGTCGGGTGTCGTCGAGCGGATCCAGATTCCGGCGGGTCCCTTTGTGAGAACAAGACCGGTGACGTTGGTCACGGACTGGTCCTTGTACGGAGAGAGGAACTTGTTGCCGTTGATCTCGGCAATGGTCAAGGCCGAGGCGGCGCCGGCGGCGAAGAGGAAGAGGGAGGTGACCTTCATCTTGACAGTGTACACCGCGTCAAAACGAGAACAAACGACTACGGAAGCTATTCACTCTTCTCTCTGGAATCGCAACGTCCTGAGCACACAAGAGCAAGAGAGGGATCGTCCATGTTTACTCCCCTCGCGGGGCAAGTCGCCACTATATGTAGGATGGAGCTGAACCTCTTCAGCCCATGATTGCGGTCCCGTTTCCCCTGGTCAGGGTCGTATCGAGCCGAGAGAGTTGCAAAGTGCCAAGAAAGCTGCACCATATCGCTTCGCTGGGTCCCCCGGGATCCAGCGATCCATTCCGCCCTTGCATCGCGGGAGCTGCCTGCTTTGCATGTGAGCAACCCGCGTCGGATGCGCTCCAAGAGTCCATGTACGCGATAAGATTGGACAACGAGAGAGAGGAGGGCGCGGCCAGCTCCGATATTACGCACTCGATATCTCTTGACTTGTAGCCTGTGAGGCCCGTTAGCCTTCCTCACTGGAGGGAAACGGCAAGACAATGATCTTTCCCGTCGAGCGGAGAGCGGAGAGCAGGGGTCCTGTCGTATCAATTGACCTCTTAGAGCGATGCGTGCCTGGCACGTTCTTGTCAGGTTGTCATGAGAAACCTGGGCTAACGGCACCGGCAGAGACATTAGATGAGCCCCGCATTAGCCTTGATTGACTTCAACCCCCCCGTCGCGGCGCTGTATTGGTTGGCCATGGCTCAATCGGGAAGGTGAAGGCTTCCTGCGAGGGCGGGAGAGTGGCCTAGCTGGTGTCTAGTTCAGTGGGGAACAACCCGGCCTGAGCATATCGAAAAAGGTTGAATTGAGAGACGGGTGTGTGGGGGAAAGGCGAGCGGCGGAACGTTGGAAAGCAACTTTGCTTCTGACCCTGGGTCATATCTATACGGTATATCTATACGGAGTGCAGAGATAGGCAATAAGAGAGACTGGATACACAATCAGCGTGTCATTTCCAACACTACAACCATGATAGGAGTAGCAAACTAAGGTGATCCGAAGAGCCGAACAAACCGCAAGACAAGCCGGACCAACTCCCCTCCTAGGACAAGTCTGCTCTCGAGGCCAAGACCTGGGTGGACGCGTGGTGTCTTGCTGTTGTTGGTCGAGAGCCGTTGCTGGCAAGGTGGAGGAGGAGGCTAAGAGTAGGGAGCAAAAGTCAATTACCTACTCTAAAAAGATGGACAGGGAGTCGTTGAGGGGCCGCTAATCTGCGTCTTATCGCCTGCCAATCATCTGCCTCACGTGTCGATGACCGACCGCCGGCCCCGGAGCTCCAACCCCGGTCGTCCCTGGATATGCCCCTGTCTATTACCGCTACCAAGATTCTAAGCTTGACTCGACTCCGCTGGGCCCCTTCAGCTCCCTCCCTCACGGCTGAGTACCTGTCCTCACACTCTTTGCGTAGCATCATGAACTCGCACTCATGAACATGCAGTCGACAGTCTATGATGCATCACACTCTCATAATACTCATTTGAAGAATCTTTGGTCGAATTCTCACTATCATGGTATCACAACTGATCTTTTTCAAAGATGGGAATCTGGCCTAAAAACTGCGGTGCACACCTTCACTCAATTTCCTACAAATGAAAACTGTCCCAGAACATTACAAAGAGTTGTACAATTCCCAAGGACCTCTTGGCCATTGAGTGAAGTCTCCCGTATATGCCTCAGAAAACCCTTGGCGACGACAGGAACAGCTGCCTACTGATATCTCAAGCGAGATCAGGCTAGCAAAATGTATGCACCAACAAAAAATTCATTTCTTTTCCGACCTCGAGACATACACACTCGGAAACAGCTCTACCAGCGTAGCTGCCTTTGCTTCAGACTTGCCACCGGTCGAGCCCGTCAAAGACCGCTCCGGTGATCGCTGGGACCGCCCGGGACCGTCCCAGGCTCCGACTCGGCTTGTTGCCCTGGGGCCCCGGCATCTGGAGCCGCTCAACACTCGAGCGTCCACTCCCGCTTACTCCAGATCGGCTTCCTCCTCGTCGCGCTGGACAAGCTCGTGGTCGTCACGCTCAGCCAGGTCATGCTCTTCGCGCTGTTCCAGGTCGGCTGACTCCTCGTCACGTCCGAGAAGACCGCTGAGAAGGGCGAGAGGGTCAGCCTGGGCCTTGTTGGCACCACCGTTGGCAGCGTTTCCGCCTGCAGCGCCTCCACCAATCTGCAAGTGAATGTCAGCTAATGTTCAATGGCATGCGTCTCTGGGGCTACTTACGCTCTCGAGGATGGAAGAGAGGATGTTGTTGCCGTCGGCAGCCTGGTTGTTCTTCGCAGCGGCGCCTCCAGCAGCGTTGTTCTTCTTGCCGTTCTTGCCGTTCTTCTTCTTGCCACCAGCGTTCGCGGTTCCGTTGTTCGCAGCACCTCCAGCGGCACCACCGGCGGCACCACCAGCAGCCGCGCCGCCAGCTGCGTTGTCGGCTCCGTTGTTCTTCTTGGCAGCGGCGTTACCCTTTGCAGCCTTGGCCTTCTTTCCGCCAGCCGCAGCGCCGTCGGCGGCGTTGGCAGTTCCGTTATTGGCAGCGCCACCGTTGTTCTTCTTGGCCTTGTTCTTCTTGGCTCCGGCAGCACCGGCGGCAGCGTTGTTCTTCTTGCCCGCGGCCTTGGCCTGTGCGTTCTTCTTGCCCTTCTTGCCCTTCTTCTTGCCTCCGGCGTTGGCAGTTCCGTTGTTGGCGGCACCGCCGGCTGTGGCTCCTCCGGCCGTGGCACCACCGGCAGCGGCACCGGCTCCTCCGGCAGCAGCGGCGTCCTTGGCGGCCTTCTTAGTGGCGACTCCGTTCTCGCCTGCGTTCTCGCCCTCCTGCTGGACGTCGGCGTTGTCACCGGCTGGCGTTGAAAGTTAGATGAGTTCCGGACGCTGATGTGTGAGTTTCTTTGACATACCTTGCTCGCCCTTGGCGCGGCGCAGAACAGGTCTCACATCAACCTGAGCCGGGAAGTTCAGGTCTCGGACGGGCAGAGCCACGGATCGGTCCTCCTGGGTAGGGAGGGCGATGACCTGGGCGGCGATGGCCGCAATGGAAAGGAGGATAGAGCTCTTCATTTTGAAGGAGTGCTGAATGTCTCTAGTCAAAGAGATGGAGAAAAAGTTGATGGTATAATTTACAACTGAAAAGGGTTCACAGAACCTGGAGAGAATGGAATGTGAGAATGGAAGAAATGAGAAAGGCACTCAAGGAAAGACTGGACCAGCCAAAGAGAAGGAACTGAACCAGAAATGTTGTTGTGTTGAAGACTTGAAAGTGTCGAGAGAAGAGAAACCGAAATCAAGGCCAGATCGGGCTGGGTTGATATAGAGTATAAGCTTCCTGGGAATCTCACTCGGATCCAGATCCCTCGGAATATCATGCCGCAGGTAGAGCAGGCACAGATTGCACCCATGAGGTCACAGTGCCAAGGAATTGAGACGTCTTGTCAAACAAATGAGGTGAACGCTATCTTTGCCCAATGTCACCATGTCAGCCATGTCACAGACTGTGATCCATCGCGAGGGCAGTGCAGTTTGGTGGAGCAGGGGAGTCGGGTCCTCAGTTTGAGAAAGAGACGTTATGGCGAATGGGAAGAGGTGTGTGCCAAGCATCACGACGGTGCCATGTCGCGCCAAACCCCGGAGCAGCCGTGAGCCGGGGAAAGCGGAGACGAGGTACCAAAATAAAAAGAGAGCAGAAAAGGTGTCTGTAGCCGATTGATGATGGGCCTCGCTACCATGCGTTTGCGGTTGAGGGTGCCAGTGGTGGCCATGGAGGGCGACTGTTGATCAGACGGTTGGTGATTCAGAACGGCCCCGCCGCGGCGGATTCTTGTATGTACCTCTCCAGAACTGAGGCTTGCGGAGGTGGAACGGGTCCCCAACGGTGGTGGCTGCTTGACGGTAGCTAGACCTGGTAATAGGCTGCATCCAGCCATCATCCCGTACTCTGCACACACAGAACGTGGGAACTAGTGTCCGTCCTGCCCTGGTTGGCATGTGTTGTTAATGCTTGTGCGGTGGTGGCATTCCCAAGGTCGCGTACCTTGCGGTTAGTGGAACAGCCATGGGGGTTGAAGGGTTTGATCGGAGGACAGGTTGTCAAACCTGGGATGAAACACCGCCCAAAAGGGCGCTTGGCCAAAATCGCGAACGCCTCTCGCTTCCCAACAAGAGTCTTCCTTCCCCTCTGCGCGCGACTGTCTCCATCCCAAGACGCTGGTGACGAGTGGGATGCCGCCCATTTGAAGAGCGAGGTGCCAGGATGGCGTTTGAAGGATGAGCATGCGCGAAGCGATGAAGTCTAAATTTCAGAAGTGCAACGATGCACCCTGGGTCGTTTCTTGACAAGCAGGGGAGTCTCTCGTGAATCAGAACCGGCCCCCTAGGCGTTGCAGAAGCAAAAAGTGGCCTGAATGGCAGGATTTGCAAAGACTTGTTGGATCTCTGCTAGGGCACCGGTTACGATGGCCGTAATAGTACACTGCCAGTACGAAGTAGCGTATAGCAACCAAGACACGCTCCGAGTCCCCACGAGCTTGATTTGTGAGCCGCAATCAAGCGTTGAAGGGTTGAAGCTTGGCCCTGGTCGATACCGTTACATCGCTCTCCTTCTTCCGTCATTCGCCGCACTACTGTTCCTGAAGGCTGTCTGATTTGCAGTGTCTGCTTAGGCCTTTAGAAATTGGGGGATCTCGACTGGAGAGATGCTTGTTTGGAAGCGGTGCCGCGGGTTGCGGTTGCTGCGCCATTCCGTCCCATTCCATGCCGTCCGTTCCCATCCCTTCACAGTTCACACAATAAATGCCGAGGGCTAGAACACAAGGCAACGTTGGGAGTCTCCGCACCCTGGTCGACATGGCTCGAGGGTTGAGGGATCGAAGTCGAGAGAAGGGACGGTGTTTCAACTGGTGCATCGAATTGCCAAGGACTTCTGTCTCGAAGAGATTGACAAAGTCGGGCGATGATCGTCGCGCAACACTGGCCAAGACCACAACAGCATGGCGTTCTTGTTGAGGTGGGAATAACAGGCCAGAATTAAGAAATACCAAGAGAGACGCTCGGTGTTGGCGATGCTTCCGGCCTTGGTTGCGAGTATCAGAAATCTCTTGGTTTCTTTTAGTTTTTCCAGGCCTGGCTTGTAGTTAGTAGTCTTGGACCTAATCTTGGAGTCTTGGCTTTGGTCAGAGTCAGAGTCAGAGTCAGAATCAGACCTCAGGCAACTTCTGGAGTCTGGAGATCGCCGGGGCGGCTCCAGTATTCCAGAATTACAGTAGAGGCCAAGCATTTTGGCGAGGGGAATCAGGGGATGAACGGATGTGCTGCGATCCTGTTTGGGAAATCATGGAGAAAGGAGGCGGGAGAGCAGAGCAGTGATCGGCGAGCGAGGAAAATCAGACACAGGAGAGAGGAGCTTGGTCAATGATGCCGGTGCATTGCTTTCCCCACGAGAATTCAAGAGGAGACGGACGGTTCGCATCACTTTGACTGAAGGGGGGTCCCTCCTTCCCAATTTCTCTACCATGACCCGTCTTTTCCATTGGGTCCCGGGTTGTCTTCCAGCCCTCCAGGTTCCCAGCAAGTATTCGCCCCAAGTTCCCGACATGGCAGCAGCAGGCTGTGAGTCCCGTCGTGACTGCCCTGTCATGCGATGTGGTCGACACAGACTCGACCCGAGCAGAAGGAAGGCCCCATTGGACTCCCGTCTTGGCAAGACCCATCACAATCACGTGGCTGCCCTCCTCGCACTTGCTCTTTCTCTCCCCTCTTCTGTCTCTTGCTTCCTTCCATCATCAGGTTACCTTCATACCTGCCTTATCTTTACACAGTAGTAATGTAGGTAAGGTACTTCGTAGACGTGCCTTCCTTGTGCATCAACAGAGGCTGAAGCACAGTCCAAATCACGTGGGAGGTGACGAATCCCCATTTCAGATGTGGTTGGGTCTTCCCTTCCACTGCGGCTCTTCAACACGTGGGACACCGCATGGCTGGTACCATAAGGTTCCTTGCTGTCCCAAACTTGGGATTTCAAATGACTCTATCCTCTGCACACGCCTGTTTTGCTTCGAATCGTACAGTTCTGTATTTAGCAAAGATGAACACAACCAACTTCAGACGACGTGATGGTGGTGGTCAGATGTCGTTATCGCTCCCGGATGAGTCAATTACCTACAGCCGTCTTCCACTGAGGCTGCCCAAGGCTCCAATGGCACAGTAGACAGTTTTTCAATCTTCTACACGCCTCGTCTTACATGACACCCGCCACATACATCAATCATCTCAAGTCTGGAGAAAGTCATCTCATCAACATGAACCTCTAACTTGGACGGTTCCACGGTCAGACTGGATGCGTCCATCGGCCCCCGACTCCAGGTTTCCTGTCTTTTTCTGTCAGTGCTGATGCATTCATTCATCCCAGACGCTCACACCTGACCTACAGGCTACGGAGTACCTGGCCAGACCAATACGCCGTATTGTGTCGATGCACGGGGCCCGAGTCGTCCGATGCAACTTCCTTGACTAGCACCAAAATCCTGCCTAACTGCTCGGCGATGCTGCTTCGAGCCGATCGGTTTTCGTCCCTTTCTTACATCGGACATACAATCCCCCATCGTGGTTGACGTCGACTGTCATCTGGTCCATCAGTCCAAGATGAGACCGGTTCCGCTTTGGGCAATTCACGGGGTGGCTGTGTCTAGCTGCCGCTATGCCGCACCCCGAGACAGGCACACCTTGATTTGATTGGCAACTCCACGTCAACACCACCAAACTTGGCCCCCTCTGCCTAAGGCTCTTACCGTCTTACCTCGAGTCTGGGAGTTTACGGAGGATTGCGGCGTGTGGTGCGGTGACTGCAGGCCCGTCGCTTCCATTCTGTTCTGTCCTTTTCCCAGTCAATCTCATACTATTTCCATTCATTTCCTTTCGTCTCGACGTGCAATAAGTTTGGGCGTACTGCAACTCTGTTTTGGAATTGTTCTCTTCAGTTTGGCACCTCGTTTTGACGCTATTGCTAGTAAACGAAGTCACAAAGCGTTACATTCGGCTCATGTTTTGTTTGAAATCCCACTTTGATTAAATTGCCTCACTCCCTTGGTCTTGAAACACCATCAGCGACACGAGAGTCCCGGTGCCCGCTAGCACCATGTGGGTCCCGCAGCCGGCTTGTTCTCCCGGCCTTGACAACTCTCTCGGTCCGTGGGCCGGAGAATTGTGCCGGGGCGGATTCGACTTTACACTTTTCTTCGAGGAGGCCATACTAGCTGTTCCCCTGCAATCTCTCCTCCTGCTGTTGCTCCCCACATGTGCCTTACGCCTGGCAAGATCCGATGTCAAAGTTGTGCCCAGCACCCTGCGCTGGCTCAAAGCTGTTAGTCCTGGCAAACTGCTTCCTACCACAATGGCTGATCTCGAAAGTCTGCATCCATTTCTCTGGCTGCCCTAAACTTCGTTCTCCTGATCCTCTGGATCACTACACCATCGACAACTATCACCCATACGCGCGCGACCATTCCCACCGCCATCATTAGTCTAATTGCCTCGATAGGATTGGGTCTGTTATCATGGCTCGCCCATCAACGGTCCGTAAGGCCGTCATTCGTCCTGTCAGTTTACTTGTTTCTGTCAATTCTGTTTGACACTGCTCGTGCCCGAACTTTGTGGATGCTGGGGCCCCATCAGACCATACCCGCCATCTTCACCTGTACTCTGGCTGTCAGAGCTGTCATGATCCTTCTAGAATCAACAGAGAAGCGCAGGATCCTAGTTCCAGAACACAAAGGATACTCCAAGGAGGTCACCAGCGGCACTTTCAACAGATCAGTCTTCTTCTGGTTGACGTCACTCTTTATCAACGGATACAGAAACATCCTTCAACTAGATGACCTCTATCCACTGGACCCAAAGCTAGCCTCAGAGCCGCTCTACAGAAAACTCGCCGGCGCGTGGGACCAAGGTAATCTATTTTCGGCCCCCAAACTAAAACACGAAATGTTCCGCGGACTAATCTATCTGATTTCTACACAAAAAAAGTCCCCGACAAGACGGTCCCTGGCGCTTTGTTCAGCACCTGGCTCCGCGCCTTTGCCGGCCCTCTTGCCGCGGCCATCGTCCCGAAACTCTTCCAGATCGCCTTCAACTACGCCCAGCCGTTTCTGATTGACGAGGCTATTCGCCTTGCCAGTCAGCCGCAACAGCAGCCCTACAATAATCACGGTTTTGGTTTGATAGGGGCGTACGTGATCGTTTACACCGGTATTGCTGTGGGTTCTGCGTTTCGTCATCTTCGCTCTCGGTCAAGAGGGCGTTCTAGAACTACTCAAAGTGCGGAGCGCTGAGATATCATGTTGTAGGTCTCGACGGGCCAGTATGACTGGCGCAATCAACGTGCGGCCTCCATGACGAGGGGCAGCACGACGGCACTTGTCTATCGGAAAGCGTTGAGGCTGGATTTGACGTCGCCCAACGTCAGCCCTTCCGCGGCTCTGACTTTAGTTGGAACCGATAGCGAGACCATCAGCCAGGGCATCATGCAGCTTCACGAGGTCTGGAGTGGACTTCTCGAGATTGGTATCGGGATTTACCTGATTTACAGGCAGCTTGGGGCTGCCTGTGCCATGCCCGTTGCCCTCGTTTTCGGTAGGATGCCATATCAGCTTCGCTGGCTGAGAGAACCTCAGAATCTGATGCGTATCGGCAGTTGTCCTACTTGCCACAGCTTTTCTCGCTGTTCCTACCGGCAAAGCATCCGCGGAATGGATCAAAGCCTCGCAAGATCGCGTCTCAACGACCTCCAAGACGCTGGGGAACATCAAATGGCTCAAGATCTCTGGCCTCAATGATGTTGCCTTTTCAGTGATTCAAAAGCTTCGAACCACAGAGCTCGAGGTTTCCAAGAGATTCAGGGTACTGTTGGGCATCTCCATGATGTTTTGTAAGCTTTTTTCCTGCGTTGCCTCTCCGTGATATGTACGCTGAGACTGTTCCTTTCAAGTGATTTGCACGCCGATCTGGTCTCCAATACTCACCTTCAGCACATTCGTTGCAACGGCGGCTCGAACCGGCGATACTTTGACGATCCAAAAGGCGTTCACCGCGTACTCTTTATTGATACTGGTGAACCAGCCATTAGTCGGCATCGTCATGGGACTTCCGCTCCTGGCTTCTGCCATGGCTTCTTTCCAGAGAATCCAAGACTTTTTGAATGGCAAGGAAAGAGTTGACCCCAGACTCGCCAGTGAGGGTAGCAAAATCGCTAGGACAGGGAAATCCGTGACAGAGCCCCCAAAAGCTGCTGGTCTAGGCCCAGACGTCGAGATGTCCGATATGCATGAAAGTGAGTTGCCAGTCGCTGATCTGCCCCTCAGTGTCATCGCCTCTGTAAAGGGAACATTCTCTTGGTCAGACGACTCCAAGCCTGTTATCGACATCGACAACTGGAACGTCCGGCGACGAGCTTTCACCTTGGTGCTCGGCCCCGTTGGCTGTGGCAAGTCGACGCTTCTAAAGTGCTTACTCGGCGAGTTATCGTCCTTCAAGGGCACCATTTCCACCAACTTCTCTGGCGTCACGTACTGCGGCCAAACCGCGTGGATACCGAACGACAGTGTGCGGAACATCATCACCGGTCACGCCGCGTTCGATCCGGCCTGGTACTACATCGTCATCAAGGCGTGTGCTTTGGAGCAAGATATCGCTAGCTGGCCGAATGGAGACAGTACCGTGGCGGGCACGAAGGGAATTTCTATGAGCGGTGGTCAGAAGCATCGTCTGGTCTGTCATTGAGCTTGTTTCGGAGTTGGGGAGACGAGTGAAGCTAACACTATGGCAGGCCATTGCCCGCGCTTTGTACGCAAGACAAGAGTTGTTGGTACTTGACGACGTTTTCAGCGGCCTAGACTCTAGCACCGAAGACATCGTATTCAGTAATCTCTTCGGCAATAATGGTTTGCTCCGCCACACGGATACGACTGTCATTCTAGCATCATCTGATTGTACGACCTCTTTTACTCCTTACATGGCTTAGTGCTGACGACCCTCTGACAGCTCGCCGTGTCCCGTTTGCCGACGACGTCGTACTTCTTAACGATGAGGGTCGAATCATAGACAACGAGGCGGTCACGAAAGTCGACCGACAACCATCTTCCTCAAGCAAACGCGCCGGCACGAGCGATAGCGAGAGCGGAAAGGTGCCACCTATGACAATAACAAACGATAAACCACCAGCCACGGTCCTCGGCCTACTCGAAGACCAAGCAGATTCCGCTCGTCAACTCGGCGACTGGGGGATGTATAGCTTCTATGCCAGGGCAGCTGGGTGGTTTAGCCTGTCGACTTTTGCCGGCGCCATGATTGTCTTTGCCTTTTGCGACTCGTTTCCCGGTACTCTCCCCCAAGGGTCTATTGACGTGGAAATCATCAGACTAACAAATTCATCGTCAGATATCTGGCTCAAGTGGTGGGCGGAGTCCAACGAGCAGAAACCGAACCAAGATCTGGGCAAGTGGCTTGGTGTCTACGCGGCTCTGGGAGTCGGGTCTGTGGCTTCGGTGCTCTTTGGGATGTGGTAAGTACTTGCATCATCACAGTATTAACCAGAGCCGTTGGTAACGAAACATTCTAGGCAACTTTTCATTGTCATCATCAACAAGTCGGGAGTCTATTTCCACGGCGTTCTACTGGACACCACATCTCGGTAAGGTACACAACCGACTTTTCTCTTGCTCTCCATACTAACAGAGATAGTGCGCCCATGACATTTCACAGTTCCGTGGACAGCGGCATCACAGTCAACAGATTCAGTCAAGATCTCCAGCTCATCGACATGGAGCTGCCAGCCGCAGCACTGGGCTTGGCCGTAGGTACGCAAGACTCTCCATCTCTAACGAAACCGAAGCCCAACTAACCTTCCAATCCTAGGCGTTGCATTCGGCGTAGCCCGTTTCGTAGTAATGTCCGTCTCCTCACGCTACATGGCCGCCATCCTCCCCTTCCTCATCCCAACCTTCTACGCCATCCAGCACTTCTACCTCCGCACCTCGCGACAAATGCGCCTCCTCGACATCGAGCACAAAGCACCCCTCTACTCCCAACTCATCGAAACCCTCGAAGGCCTAGCGACAATCAGAGCCTTCCGCTGGGAAGACAATTTCGAAAAGGTCAACCTCCGCCGGCTCGACGACTCACAGCGGCCCAAGTACCTCCTTGCATGCCTACAAAGCTGGCTAACGTTTTCGGTTGACATGGTGATTGCCGTCATCGCCGTTGTCCTCATTGTATTGGTCACGACGCTGCGCGAACAAATTGGGCCCGGGTTCATTGGTGTTGCGTTGACGAATGTGTTGGCGTTTAGTGGGTGCGTCAAGGCGATTATCACGTCGTGGGTCATGTTAGAGGTTTCGCTTGGCGCGGTTGCGAGGGTGAGGAACTTTTCTTTGACTACGGCGTCTGAGGACGACTCTCGCGTGCAGCGTGCGGAGCCAGAGGGAGAGTGGCCGAGTCGAGGAGCCGTTGAGCTTCGGAGAGTGACGGCGTCCTATCCGTAAGTTTAGAGAATCGTTGAACCGGAACTTAAGAGTGTGAAGCTGACGTTGTAACAGATCATCTGGTACCGTACTTAAAGATGTAAACATCTCAATCAAACCAGGTCAAAAGGTTGCAATCTGCGGCCGAACAGGCAGGCAAGTAATCCCCTAACCCCAACCTTACCAGCACAAAGACATCTAACACTCCCTCCAGCGGCAAAAGCTCCCTCATCCTCTGCCTCCTCCGCATGATGGACCTAGACTCGGGCACAATCACCATCGACGACGTCGACATCGCCACGCTGCCCCACGAATACGTCCGTTCCAAGATCGTCGCAGTCCCACAGGAGTCCTATATCTTCGACGGCACCGTGCGGTTGAATATCGACCCGGGCCAGACAGCGTCGGACGAGGATATCACGGCGGTCTTGAAAAGGGTGCAGCTTTGGGAGAAAGTCGAGGAGCGCGGTGGTCTGGATGCCGTGATTGACGATAAGTTCTTCTCGCAGGGTGAGGCGCAGTTGTTGGTTTTTGCTAGGGCTATGTTGAGGAAGGGGAGGGTGCTTGTTTTGGATGAGATTACGAGCAGGTGAGTTTCCATCTTTTCTATTCCCTTTTCGCAGAGGTGTTCAAGTTGGCACTTATCCTACCGAGAGTGGACGAAAGAGATTAACCTTTTGTGCGAATAGTCTGGACGATGAGTCTAGTAAGATCATCGACGAGGTGCTGCGTTCGTGGTTCAGAGATTGGACCATCATCGCTATCGCACATAAGCTTGAGTCGATACGGGACTTTGACCGAGTTGCGGTTGTCGATTCAGGGGTAGTTGTCGAGTATGGGGAGCCTCGTAGACTCCTGAAGAGCGAGTCGTCGTTCAAGGCGTTGTATGAGCGGTCATCGGGTGTGGCACACTAGGGCCGGTAGGAGGGAATTGAGGAAATGTTAGATGAGCGTATATCCCAACTCGGCATTGTATTTGTAACGTATCAAGATACCCCTCTTTCCATTAGAATTTTACATGGAACATTCTTCTCAGAAGGCAGCGATTATGGAGTGCGGAGTATGTGCCATTCTTTCTCAAGCGGTGCGCTGGAGCTGCTGCTGATGACCATGGAATTAACGTCAATGGCTTTTGATGCATCATATCAGCGAAGAGAGTTACGCAAGTGATGAACAAAAACAGACATGCTTTAGTCAGTCATCTCACTTATCATATTTCCGAGCAACCAGACTGCCTCACCTGGCATTTATAAGACCGACCGCACGAGTTAACATCAAGCCGTAGAAAAGAGTAAGGCTGTAGGATCATACCGCCAACCACACCCTATTCTGGCTGCATCAACAGTAGGGTCAGCAGTAATCGGCACTTGCCCTGCTGTCACCTCATTGGTGGTAAGTGACTGTATAGTTCCCCATAGGCTTTTTGGTTTAGATTGAAGTTGGTTGTCATTACCCAATAGAACTTTCCGTGCCATCTTCCCTCAGGCGCAGCATCCGTCTCCAAGCTGAAGTTGCACTTTTGTTACGGCTCATGACCAGGCGCAGGCTGAATATGCAGAACCGCCTTGCCTCACTGCCGCCTCGTTTGAAGCAAGTAATTTTGATGATTCTGGTCAGGCGCTCACTCCCATCACTTTCATTGTCACTTTCATCAAGACTCTCATACTCATATTCACCCTCATCTTCGTTCTCCTCTCCCTCATCTTCACTCTTGTCTCCGCCCCCGGCTTTTCATCCTCAATTCCACCCTTTTTTTCACCCTCAAACCCACCTGCAACTTACACCATACTTGTTGCCTCTTGAGCCGAGTGATCTCCGACAAACTACCTGCCACAGCTTAGATGGAGCTTCAATCATGGGATGCCTTCCAAAAGACGTTGCCTCCTGCCAAGCACATGAAAGAAATCCATAGAAAGAACCTAGCACTTCGTCATCCCCAAACATGTAGCTGGGTTTTTAACAGCGAAATATACCGTCAGTGGGAGAATGAGAACAATAACACGCTCTTCTGTATTGGTCCGCCTGGGGTGGGCAAGTCGATTCTAGCTGCCGCGGTAATCGACGAGTTGAAGAAATCAGATAGTCTAGTACTCTTCTTAATTTGCGAGAACGATTCTCAGCAAATGGATTTCCTCACGGGATGTCTGATCCAACAATTACTCGAGCGTATCGATTACGGCACAGATGTGGAATTGTTGTCGAAGCTCTCGGGGCCGAGGAAAGACGACAACGTCGGGAACAACAATGGTCAAACGGCTCTTGAATCGTTGCTGTGTCACCGGAGCACCAAAAATGACACCAAGAGGGCAAGAATCTCACTCGTCTGGGATGGACTCGATAGACTTGACATTGAAGTGTCTCGCAGCCTTCTGTCCTTCTTCAGTCGCCTTCGTGCTCAGATCGACATCAAGATTTTCGCCACTTCAACGTTTGACGTGTCTCTGACAAACGAAGACGGTTCAATTGCGACCCTATCAATGCCAGCTTCGGACACAACGGACCTGAAGGAGTATATCACTTCCCACGTGAAGCCACCAGCGTCGTACTCGATCCCAGAGCACATCGAGTTTTACGAAATTATTTTGAGAGCAACTGAGGGGATGTAAGTCACAGTTCACCAGTCGTGAAAATTAATGCGTCGCTAAGTCATTCCAGATTTCATGTCGCGAGTCGTATCGTCGAGGAACTTTCGCCGATGCACACGAAGTTCGAGTTCCAAAGATTCTTGAGACATTGGACTCAAGAACGTCGGCATCTGAACCACGTCTTCGGCGAACTAATTGAAGCGCGTTCAGATCATTTTCAGTCTGGTCTCGCTTCGCACGTCATCGACTGGCTTACTTTCTCTCACCGAGCACTCACAATGCTCGAGCTTCAGCATGCTCTGGTAGCGGACGTCTCAGAGTACCTGCGTGTGCCTCCGACGCCAGAGAAGATCGCGTCTGCATTGCACGGCATTGTAACAATCAAGGGAGAGCAGGGAGGACAGTCAATATCCTTTTTCCACTGCGCTGTCAAAGACTACTTTTGGCACGAGAGAAGCGACCGGTCTCCCAAGATTCATGACAACATCGTCAGCTATTGTCTGAGGCAGCTATCGAGGATATCCTCCGACGATGGGTTCTGCAAGTCGGACGAGGACTTTGAAGAGCGGTTAAGCCACAATCCATTCTTCCTCTACGCTGCTTGTCACTGGGGGTTCCATACGCAGACATGTTCGGAGCCCGTTGCAGCCGCTATGAGGTTTCTAGACAACCGTGCCAATGTCGTAATGTCAAGCCAGGCCATTCTCATCGAACAATCCTCAACAAAGACACCCGGGTATACGCAGCGCGTCCCTAAGAACGTCACGGGACTACACCTAGCAGCTTATTTCGGGATACGAACTGCTGCTGAAGAGCTCCTCAGCGAGGGAACTGCACCGCTGAGCTCTGTCGACACGCAAGGTCGGACGCCACTTTGGTGGGCCGCGCATTATGGACAGGATAAGGTGGTCCGACTGTTTTGCCGAAGTGACACGGCCACACTCTCACTGCTTGTCGTGGCCAAAGAGAGGGATCTAATCAAAGTCTTGCTCGATGGCAAGTACAATGTGAATATCGCCGATGCCTCGCTGGATACCCCGCTGCACCACGCCGTACGCCGGAGCTATGGAAACATAGTTGAAGATCTCTTGTCCGCTGCTGCCAACGTCAACGTGCAGAACATGGGAGGCGAAACACCGCTTGCAATAGCACTCAATAATCGCAATAGCAACATAATCAACCTCCTCATTGGAAAAGGAGGGTATACTGATTTCGTGAATACGGCCAAGTTCCGCAGGGCGCACGGGTGGCAGGACAGCCAGACTCTAGAGATCTTTCGAGATGACAAGACCACAGTTCTACGGCTGAAGCCAGGAGACAGACGCTCGTTCGAGGATTGGGGGCCGACCGAGAGATTCTCATTGTAAGCGTCTCCATTCACCGTGGCCGCTGACTGTAACGCTTACCACTTTTGTAGGCAACAACAGATTCTCGGCGACGCCCCATTTTCACCTCAGCTTCGTCGTTTGACAGACAATCTTCAGATTGAGGAACTGAATCTCAAGATCATCTCACAAGAAGACAACAGGAGTCACATCACCTACTACATTGAGGCATTCATGTGGAACTCTCCCAATAATGACGAAGCTCTGCCTTGTGAACAATTAGTGCTGTGCTGGGATGTCTTCCGCGATGAGCAAACCCATCAATGGCACACAAAAGCTCACCTCACCACCATGCCACACATTTGGCTTCCGGATAATGGCGCGGTCTTTCTGAGGCACTTTCTTATCCATGTCAAACATACGTGGCTCGCTTACTGCGATGCGAATCTCGTGGATCTCCATGTGCGTATCTCCTTTACCCCAGCATCATTGACTTTCGAGAGGTTCACTGACGCATTGCAACACGGCAGCTTCGCAAGAGAATCATTGAATCCAAGGGATCTGACCCGGCGCTCCTGGATCACCTCCTTGAGAATGGACAAAGGTGGCTCAGCCATCGTCATAACCTCTCCAAGGTCGCTTCCAGCATTCGGAATTTTGCCAGGAAGTACTGCCTACAGCACAACGAGACCGGCGATCTCGAGGAACTCACAGAGGCGATAGACCAGCTGGCTGCCGCGGTTGGAAAGAAGCTCGGTGAGTTGGACGAGAACTCGAGAGATCTCATTCAGCTGGTGGGTATAGACGGTGTTGCCAGTGTTGAACATGCCACTTACCAGGTCAAAGGAATGCAATCTCGTATCTATCAAAGAAGCGCGACAGTCTGTGCACTCGTCGACGAGCATGAAGCGATTGAGCTGGATCACGGTAACACCACCTCCCTAACGTATAGCTCTACATACTAATCAACACCTTGACTAGTTCATCTTCTTACCACTAACATTCATAGGAGTAAGACTCAAAACTTCTCTGCTGCCCATGAATGCTGACCATCATGCAGACCTTATTTGGGATGAACGTAGACATCTTGGACGGCAAAAAGCCTGCTTGGTGGACTTATGTCCCTTTCGCCGCAGTCACTTCGCTTCTGACCTCTGTTGTGTGGCTTCTGTTCAAGTTTACTGAGGTTAGTAGAATTATGATCTCCACCTCAGTGTAAGCGTACAGCCAGAGCTGACCAGAGGCAACAACAGCTTGAGACAAAGATTGAAACGAAGGCAAGGGCATGGGTATCTCACGTCAAAGACGGTGTAAGCACGCGCGACGGCCAGGACGTACTGAGCAGATACGAAACCTCACCTAGAAGTGCCAATGCTCTCTCAGATGTAGATTCAGAAAGGGGACTCGGGATGACGAACAGGGTCTCGACGAGTAGACCATAGCAGGCTTGATACGCACATGGCAGGTTTATTTGTACAGTCAAGCATTCCGAAAAGTCAGTCCGTATCTTTTAACCATTCTGTTGACGCCGGAATTCTGTAAATGACTATTGCTCTCCATAAGAGTCGTCGCTTTGCGACGGAAGTCATGGTCTATAGCCACAGCCTGATTCGAGCCTCGGCCTATATTATTGTAGGTTTTGATCCCTTGCCGCACCTCCCTTCTTTTCACAGCCAATCAAGATAGATACATATTGATGGACGAAGTAAGACGTGTAAATAGACCTGTCGCTTGTGCCGTACTAGCCAGCCCCCGGAAACTTGACTTGCTTGACTAACACAAACGAGAAACGCCCCTCTGTTCGGGTATTCCGGATGAACTGATTGGCCAATCGCATTTATGACTTTCGTTTGCCGCGTGGGCCTTGTCAAGATGCTCCCGAGGTTCTCGTGTCCCCCCGGCCGGTGTCCGGCTGGCAACTCTGGACTCCTCTCCCCGGTCTTTCGGCATCGTGGCCTGGCAGTCGTCGCGGAGCACGGAGCACCCGAATACTTGGCGCACGATC